CATCAAAGTCTAGAAAAGGCAATAGATGAGTTTCTTATATCAATGTTAGCCAAGTGAACCATGGCCAAGTACATTGTAGTAATCTCAAGTCTTTGGAACAGTATACAGTTATCTTGAAGTCTTTTACATCAAGCAAATACATTGGATTTTGTAATTATATAATGTCTTTGGAGTCATATCTTTAATATACCATATGTAGGTAAGTAAATGACACATTTCTTATGATTAACAGTAGTATGTTTTATTGAAATGGTACTTATAACATGTGCTTTTGAAAGATTTACAAACAAACTTTACATCATGTGACCCTGAATACCTCACCTCATTGGTTGAAATTTGAATTAGGCCGCTCCTCTTAATTAAAAAAATTACCAATTTTCAAATAAGGATTTCTAAAAAAGTAATGCATAATTGCAATAATTGATTAATAGATTTCAAGGAGAATGTATTCATAAACATCTGTGACAATTTTTATGGTGATCTGTTGGCTACAACTAACAGAAAATCAAAATCATTCCTCTTGATTAGAATTTTTCATATTCCTAATATTTTCAAATTTAGAATGACTCCATTTTTACTGGTCAAGCTGCTTTTATAGTGGAGGCTCTGTCTTTAAGGGACATTCTGTAAACATTATGCAAGAAAGAATCTGTGTTCCGACATAAGTCACGGCATTATACTATTCTATTATAATACTATGATAATATCAGACATCAATAAGCTACCGTATTTCAAATTAAATAAATTGCAACAGAAAATGATGCGTCGGATGAAAAGCCCTTTGATGGATGACCTCTAGTGGAATGTGAATTCAAGAGGACAAGTATGTCAAATTATTAGCTATAGAATCCACCGTCATTGAATATAGATGTGCGTGTATATTCAAAATACTGCATATATTTGGACTATAGATACATACATTTACCAAGTGAACTAAGCAATTCTTAATTAAGGCACATATAAGTCACATTTTGAACTTACTATGGAATACATTTTGAACAATGATACATGGGGTAAGGTCCTACCTGATATACTAATGGTATAGAATAAACAATGCCGATGGCCCAGCTGAAATTATGGATAATGGTACATGGGGTAAGGTCCTACCTGATATACTAATGGTATAGAATAAACAATGCCGATGGCCCAGCTGAAATTATGGATAATGGTACATGGGGTAAGGTCCTACCTGATATACTAATGGTATAGAGTAAACAATGCCGATGGCCCAGCTGAAATTATGGATAATGGTACATGGGGTAAGGTCCTACCTGATATACTAATGGTATAGAATAAACAATGCCGATGGCCCAGCTGAAAGTGTGATAAATAGTAATATGATTATGGTAAATAATTATATTTGCTTGATGAAGAATGACACTTCTATTGTTACATTAATTTATAACAGATGATATACATGTAAGGGTACTAGTATACGGCCACAAAGGAGAACATATTTTTGTAATATATCTTATAAAGTCGGGTATTGAGTGCACAAACGCAAGTCTAATCTAATGACACATTATAGAATGCATACGGAAGTGAAGGACTTCAAATGTAATGTTTGCTCTAAAACATTTGCACAAAAGTCGCATCTTAACCTACATTATAGAATTCATACAGGAGAAAAAAACTTCAAATGTAATCTTTGTTCTAAAACATTTACATTTAAGTGTGGTCTTTCAAGACACTTTAAAATCCATACTGGAAATACTCGAGAAACGAACTTCGAATGTGATGTTTGTTTCAAGACATTTACGGAAAAGTCAAAACTGAGCAGACATCATATAATCCATACTGGAGAAAAAAACTTCAAATGTAATGTTTGTTTTAGAACATTTACACAAAAGTCACAGCTTAATACACATTATAGAATTCATACTGGAGAAAAGAACTTCAAATGTGGGGTTTGTTCTAAGCCATTTATACAAAAATCTGGTCTTGATAGACATTTTAGAATTCATACTGGAGAAAAGAACTTCAAATGTGATGTTTGTTCTAAATCATTTACAGAAAAGTATAATCTTAACTTACATTACAGAATTCATACTGGAGAAAGGACTTTCAAATGTGATGTTTGTTCTAAAGCATTTACTCTAAAATCGAGTCTGAACCAACATTATAATATACATACTGAAAAAAATAACTTCAAATGTGAAATCTGTTCTAAAACATTTACATAATCGTCCAATCTTACCAAACATTATCATATACATACTGGAGAAAAAAACTTCAAATGTGATATTTGTTTCAAAACATTTAGGCAAAAGGCTCATCTTGTCAGGCATAATAGAATTCATACTGGAGAAAAGAACTTTAAATGCGATATTTGTTCTAAGCCATTTAGGCACAAGTCAAGTCTCAAAGAACATTATAGCAGTCATACTGGAGAAAAGAGGTTCAAATGCAATGTTTGTTTCAAATCATTTGCGTATAGTTCTACTCTCAACTTACATTATAAAGTTCATACTGGAGTAAAGAACTTCAAGTGTAATGTTTGTTCTAAAAGATTTAAGCAAAAGGCACATCTTGACAAACATTATATCATTCACACTGGAGAAAAGAACTTCAAGTGTGATGTTTGCTCTAAAAGCTTTGGACGAAAGTCGCATCTGAGCTCACATTATAAAATCCATACCAGGGAAAAGAACTTTAAATGCGATGTTTGCTCTAGACGATTTTCTCATAAGTCTAGTCTTAACAGACATTATAGAATTCATACTTGAGAAAAGAACTTCACATGTAATGTTTGCTGTTTGCTCTAAAATCTTTGGATCGGAGGAAAGTCACATCTCAACTTGAAGAATATGTATTCTAGGTATTTGTAGCAAATTCATAACTATACTAAATTTAGATCAAGACTCATATGTTTTAGAACACAATGTGACTTGAGGGAACCACAGAATACAATTGTTGTTCGAATTATTGTGTTTGATCATGGAAACTTTATTGGGCTTTGTAAATAATTTGTTTTTATGTAAATATAAATTACCCGGAATACAATTGATATTCTAATGTTTTTGCTGGCTATCACTAGTACATGTCATAATGTTACATACTAGAAACAGTAATCTTTTAATACTTTTCCCAATATGGCAGCCATTTTAAATGAGAAAGGTAATGAGAAGTCATAGTTTGTTTTCCTTACTGTTCTTTTAAAATGGTTTCCAAAAATCCATGTCTTCTTCACAAAATTCAATGAGACCAGGTCTTTCTGAAACGATGAAAAGATTTGTTTGCTCACATGTCAGTACCAATTCAGATACGCATAGCATCTCTCTGTTGCATCGCAGATCTCCCATCCTCCGATCACAGGGCTTCAAAATCCAGAATATATTCTTTCTTTTTACCCCGTGCGATAAGCAGTTAGCCTTTCCCCGATTAAGAACTCGTAATCTGATTGGCTGTCGCAACACTGCGACAGAAAATCATGTATAAGTCATTGCTCATAATAAGATCACGTGATTCAGTTTAATCGAGCGCATCCAAATTGGTTATAGCAGGGGGAAGAAGGAGGTACGGATTCTGGATACCTGCTTAGGAGGATGCAGATCTCCAGAAGGATAGAGATGGAGAAGGCGTGGCTTACTACGATGCATCATACCCCGCATGTAACTGTCACACTTTATTTGTTCGAAGATAAGACACAAAAGTGTCAAATTACTGGCTACTGGATTTACAACAGTAAAACTCATGTCAAGTGAATGCTACTCATTGCATCTTGATTCACAATGTTTCAGGTGCTCCAACCAAGGGAAAATCAATACCCGGTGATTTCAGCGGGAAGTGGCGTTTCGTTCAATGGATGAGCTGCGCGCGCACGCATAAATGTGATTATCCAATATCATTCAGTGTTTCAGATGTTCCAACTTCATAATTTAAGAATGTTGAATGTTGAATCCTCATTGGCTAATAATTAACGGTAATTGTGCAAATATCAAAAGGGCATTAAACGTTTCCCTGATTGTGCAGCAGGAATGTTTTGAACAACACCACAAAACAGTCACCTATTTGTAGGGGCCTAATTTGAAGATATCAAATAATTTACTACAGAACTTATACCCTTGCAGATGATGAACTGCTGCTTTCGAAGAATATCTTAACAAAGGCTCCATATATGGCCATCAATTCTTTAATTCAAAATTAATTGTGCAATTTAGTATAATTACTATGTTTGTGCATTAAGTGAATAACTTATTATACGTAGTGCTGATACAGAAAACAGTGGCTATTGTTTTCTTAGCAGTTTTAGGTTTTTTGCCAAACCTTAATAGTTATCGTTGCGATTTTGTTGTTAAATATCTTTATAAAATGTTTTTCAAAAATATTTCACGTTGTAATTTATACATGCAGGCCTGTATCAAGGTATACGAATATTTGACCAGGGGGTCAACAACAATTTTTTTATTGACATCTGTGAAATTATCAAAACTTATGCCCTTACAGATGAATTGCTGCTTTTGAAGAAGTTTTTAACAAAGGCACCATATATGGCTATTAGTTTTCACTCTTTAATCATGATAATATAATATTAAAATCAAGACATCTCATGTACCTAGATTACTTCATATAAAATGACTTATTACAGAACTCATGCCCTTAAAGAAGAATTGTTGGTTTTGAGAAAACGTTTACAAAGGCTCCATATATCGCTATTAGATTTTATCCTTAAATAATGTGTAGTTTTATATAGTGTCTGTGCTATTATCAGGATGTTCCCATGTTGCAAACTGGAACATTAATATTAAATGATTTATAACTGAAAATTTTCCCTTACAGATGATTTGCTGCTTTTGAAGAATTTTTCAACAAAAGCATCATATATGACAATTAGTTTTAATTCTTTGATCTTGAAATTCAAAATAAGTTGTGCAACTGAGCAATATTTTATAAAAAAAGATTTTAAATTATATGAAGAGATTGACCAGGAGGGAGGTTTTGTATCATAAATAAAACAACTTTTTTTGTAAGGGACGCCCTAGAGGGCAATTGAGAAAATTAATATGTTCACTACTCAGGTATCATAGACAGCTGTGCATCTAAATGGGGTTTATTGTCCCAGGTCATCAAAGTATCTGAATTGGATGAACGAGTTTTACATGGCAGCGCACAAAACCAAATAAAAGTACTTTGTCATTAGTAATTGACAATTGAAAATAACATTGAAGCAAGACATTCCGTTAAAACGCAATATTTGGATATTAAAAGATTATAAATGCTTTAATAGTATTTAATTGTCAGAGTGATAGACTTTTTGTGTAATATTAAAGCACTAATAGCACACCCATTGAGTTGGATAAAACAAAAGAATGTTAAATAGGGAATCAAACAACAATCAGGAAGGATGCTAATGCATAGAAGACATCATCAGGTAACTTCTCTATGGCAATTTTTCTTTATTTTTTTGTTTTGGATTTTTAACACCATAATATTTATACTAACTTCTTGGTACAGCTATTTTTAAAATTCCATTTATCTAATCGAGCTCAATGGGAAAATGACATTCTCCATAACGCAGATGCGAGTAGGTGGTTGCCAGTTTCACCACCAGGTGGCTAGTTCGCGTCAGATAGCATGGCGGGTATGTTACATGTTTAACTGTAGTTAGTTAATCTCATGGTGTTGAAAATTCAAAATAAAAAAGAAATATTGCAATGAAGAAGTTACTTAAGCATCTAGCTCTTTTAATTTTGTAGTCACATAATATTATGAACCAAGGATTCTTCGAAATATTTGATGTTCAGTCACCATCCGAGCAATCAAAGGGAAAATTAACAATCATCATAATGACGGAGATTTCTCACAATTGACTCCTACAATATAAATACTACAACGTATATATAAGTACATTGTATTGCTATTCTAAAGCTGAATACTGAGAATTAGAGACAGTGATTTCTCACGCAATACAAGTGACTCCTATAATATAATAAATACTACAAGTTATATATAAGTACATTGTATTGCTATTCTATAGCCGAATACTGAGAATTAGAGACAGTGATGTCTAATACAATACAAGTGACTCCTATAATATAAATACTACAACGTATATATAAGTACATGGTATTGCTATTCTATAGCTGAATACTGAGAATTAGAGACAGTGATGTCTAACAGAACACATGTGACTCCTAGAATATAAATACTACAAGTCATATATATAGTACTATACAAGTGACTTTTGATCCTGTAATAAATTACAGTGACTTCTAATGACAAGATAATTTTCAGTTACATTAATCGGATCAGAAAAATACAAGCTACAGGAGATAAATCCATACTGGACAGGATAATTATAAATGACTTCAACGAAAGCTAATAATATCGTAAGGCAAAACTAAATGGCACAACTAGAGATGAATTTACATGAAACATCTAATTGCGAAAGTGAAAATGGAACTATATTAAGAACAAGTGTTGATAAAACAGGAACAGGACCAGCAGTAAAACATGTTGGAAAACATGAATGTGATGTCTGTCATAAAGTATTTAGGTTCAAGTCTGCACTTAAGCGACATCATGTAATTCATACTGGAGAGAGGAATTTCAAATGTGATATTTGTCTTATGACATTTAACTGCAAATCGAACTCTGTAGCGCATTCTAAGATACACACGGGAGAGAGGAATTTCAAATGCGATGTTTGTCTTAAGACATTTAAAAGCAAATCTAACCTTGTAAAGCATTCTAAGACACACACGGGAGAGAGGAATTTCAAATGTGATATTTGTCTTAAGACATTTACCCAAAAGTCTAGTCTTGTAACACATTCCAATATACACACTGGAGAGAGGAATTTCAAATGTGATATTTGTCTTAAAACATTTAAAGTAAAATCTTACCTTTTAGAACATTGTAAGATACATACTGGAGAGAAGAATTTCCAATGTGATATTTGTCTTAAGGCATTTAACAGCAAATCTAACCTTGTAGTGCATTCTAAGATACACACGGGAGAGAGGAATTTCAAATGTGATATTTGTCTTATGACATTTAAATGGAAATCTAACCTTGTAATGCATTCTAAGATACATACGGGAGAGAGGAATTTCAAATGTGATATTTGTCTTAAGGCATTTAACAGCAAATCAAACCTTGTACGTCATGGTAAGTTACATAGTGGAGAGAGGAATTTCAAATGTGATATTTGTCTTATGACATTTAAATGGAAATCTAACCTTGTAAAGCATTCTAAGATACACACGGGAGAGAAGAATTTCAAATGTGATATTTGTCTTAAGACATTTAACCAAAAGTCTAATCTTGTAACACATTATAAGATACACACGGGAGAGAGGAATTTCAAATGTGATGTTTGTCTTAAGACATTTAACCGAAAGTGTAGTCTTGAAATACATTCTATGATACATACTGGAGAGAGGAATTTCAAATGTGATATTTGTCTTAAAACATTTCAAGTAAAATCTTACCTTTTAAAACATTATATGATACATACTGGAGAGAAGAATTTCAAATGTGATATTTGTCTTAAGGTATTTAACAGAAAATCTAGCCTTGTACGTCATTGTAGGTTACATAGTGGAGAGAGGGATTTCAAATGTGATGTTTGTCTTAAGACATTTACCCAAAAGTGTAGTCTTGTAACACATTCTAAGATACACACGAGAGAGAGGAATTTCAAATGTGATGTTTGTCTTAAGACATTTAACCAAAAGTGTAGTCTTGAAATACATTCTAAGATACATACTGGAGAGAGGAATTTCAAATGTGATGTTTGTCTTAAGACATTTAACCAAAAGTATAGTCTTGAAATACATTCTAAGATACATACTGGAGAGAGGAATTTCAAATGTGATATTTGTCTTAAGACATTTACCCAAAAGTTTAATCTTGTAACACATTCTAAGATACACACGAGAGAGGGGAATTTCAAATGTGATGTTTGTCTTAAGACATTTAACCAAAAGTGTAGTCTTGAAATACATTCTAAGATACATACTGCTGAGAGGAATTTCAAATGTGATGTTTGTCTTAAGACATTTAACCAAAAGTATAGTCTTGAAATACATTCTAAGATACATACTGGAGAGAGGAATTTCAAATGTGATGTTTGTCTTAAGACATTTAATCGAAAGTGTAGTCTTGAAATACATTCTAAGATACATACTGGAGAGAGGAATTTCAAGTGTGAAATTTGTCTTAAGACATTTAACAATAAATACAACCTAGTAACACATTCTAAGATACATACTGGTGAAAAGAATTTCAAATGTGGTGTTTGTAGTAAAACTTTCATCAGAAAATCTCAACTTAGAGAACATGGTGCAGCTCATACTGGAGAAAAAAATATTCTTATATGATATTTGGCTTAAGTTAGTCTTTCAATGACTATTGCAGAGTCAGATGGTCCATCATAAATCCTGCTCTCGTGTGAGCTCTCAGTGGACGAGAATCAATATAATATATACATCAGAAAATAACTATCCCATTCATTGCTGTCCCGGATGGCTCGGGGGTTCATGCTCGGCTTCCAGGCGTCGGGATTCAAGTTCGAGTTCCGCCGTCACGGATGGTAAATTTTCCCAAATATTTTTATAAATAACTTTGTTGTCCCATATATTGTTATACATCAGTGTATCCTTTAACAAGATTTTAACAAGGAAATCTGAATTGTAGAAAAAAGCTGATACACTGTGAGGTACTACCTTAAGTTATTTAAGCACACATCTCATTCAAGTGTGATAACTGTCCAAAGGCTTTTATTACAAAGTCTGACCTTAGATAACAGCATAATATTCATACTGGAGAGAGGAATTCCAAGTGTGAAGTCTGTTTAAAGACATTACCCAAAAATCACATAGTATTATAAGATCTGTATTGGAGAAAAGAATTTCAAATGTGATGTTTGTAGTAAAACATTCATCAGCAAGTCTCAACTTAGGGAACATTATATGATGCATACTTGATATAGAAATTCAAATGTGATGTTTGTCTAAAGACATTTTAACACAAACATAACCTTGTCAAATATTCCAAGAGACATACTGGAGGAAGAATTTTAAATGTGATATTTGTCTTAAAGATTCGCGCAATCTTTATTCAATCAGCGTTTGCGATGCGAATCGGCTCACGTATAAAACGCGAATCCAACTCCAGATCCATGCAGGGGTGCATGAAGTACTCGAATGGGAAAGAGCTCGTGAAATCTGAATTTACATGCACATGGGAACTAAAGTGTGATGTTTGTTCTAAACTGTGTTTGCACAATTCTCACATAAACATACATTATATAATTCATACTTGAGAAACAAACCTGTGTATTGTTTCTTCTAAAACATTTTTGTGAAAGTCTTCTCTTAAAAAGCATCATAAAATTCATACTGAAGAAAAGAACTTCAAATATTATGTTGTTACTTGGACAAAAGTCTACTCTGAACAGACACCATACTAGAGAGAAAGACTTTAAGTGTAATATTTGCCGCACGAATGTCACAACTCTCACATTATAATGTAGAATTCATACTAGGAGAAAATAAAAGACTAGTCTCTGTTTGGAGAACGAAATTCATCGGTATACTGCACGTTACGCCTGCTTTGGACAATTTTGACATTTTTAAAATATTGTAAATTAAAAAGTCCCCTTTTGAATATCCATAATTTAATTTGGGTGATATTTGTATATTTTTCCGATGAACCGATGAACTTCCTTCTCCGAATTGAGACTTGTTTTGCATGTAAAATATGAATGTTTATATGACTATATTGTTATATTGTTCGAAGGCCGAAATAGCTACTCTAATATGTATTGAGAATATACGAGATTGGAATAAGAACATTCGGAACGATGTCCAGAAACTACCCGGCCATAGGAACAAGTTAAGGACATGATTGAACATTTTATCTACGTGTAGACACAAAGTCTGACAAACATGTACTCCTTTCATGTAAAGGGGCATTTGCAGCTATCACATGCAGTGTGGCACCGTTGCCAATTGAGACCGGGCGCTTTGAAAGACTATCAGAACAGACATTCCAACATAAACATAAACATGTTTTTCATTCTCCACCGAGCCAGTGTCACATAATACATAGTCTTAACCGTGCTGTGCTTTTTATATATTGTAATGTATTGTATTGTATTGTATTGTATTGTATTTTATTGTATTGAATTGTATTGTATTGTACCCACTAAGGTCAGAGTTGTTGTTGTTGTTATTTGTAAATTTAATGCCTGCATTTTTACATTTGGACAGAGATTTGCAATTTTTTATCTTCATGGGCAATACTATTATTTACCTTTATGTTGCAAAGGCTTGTGTCTAAATGCTGAAACTTAGCTATTTTCTCTATAAATGATCATGTGACATCCACACCCGGCCTTGGTTGTTTTAGTTGTATTGTATATGTTAAATACGACTCGTGAAACTTTAATAAAATAAATAAATAACAAAATGAATGACCAAGAAGAAAGTTTTTAATGACACCAGTAAACAGAAATGGTTTTATAAGGGACTCCCTAGAAGCTAACAGCGAAACGGTATGTTTAAAACATCATAAAGGAGGGCGAGTTGTTTGTAGAATGAATCGGGGGATTTTTTTCATGAATTTCGCTTATGTTTTTCATCCAAAAAACATCAATACACTTTAAAAAATTTTGTTTACTTTAAGATTACACCATGTAATCCAAAAATATATTTCTCATTTTCAAAGATAATCCATGGATTAACACCCAGGTATTTTTTATTTTTCAATCTTCAGAGGGCTGGGAATCAATGATGCTCAACGCTTTTGAATACGATAAATGCTGTTTTAAATAGGTTTTACGTATGCCAATAATTTCTCAAATTAGGTAAGCTGAATGCATTCCTTAATCCCTAGAATGCCTATCATAATAACATTCTTTTGTCTTGGCCACTTAATATGTTTTGTTGCTGTCTGATCATCAAATCAAATTGTTGTTATTTAAAGATGTCAGTCAAATCTGGTGAAACAGCACAACATTTACCTAAATAGCACGAGTACATATTATGTAACTCATCCATAATATTTCATGCATCAGGTATTAAGGCTTAGGGGATTAACTTTTACACATAAACTGAACTGACAGATGTGTATGCTTACATGTACAACTTCCAGGATTGTAAGAATTCAAAACTTGTTGATAGCCATATTTTCCTGAATGTGACATCGAGATATTATGGCATTTATGAGTGGTAAAACATGAAAAAAGCATTTTCATTTAAAATTAGCATATGCTTTGAATTGATGCTAAGAAATGTATTAGTTAACTGTATCCGTTTTACATCCATTGCAGTTGGCTACATTATAAGACAAAGCATTCACATGCAAAATGTTAACATCTGCCATTTGTTACAGACACCAACTGCCAAACACCAACTGCCAAATGATAAACACCAACCACTGAACACCGTCCACAAAAAAGTTTGAGACCATAACAATATGTCACCACTTGTGGTGGTGACATAAAAATGATCATGGAAAATTGTATTTTTTTTTAAAAAGTAGGAACTTCTGAGGTTATTAGAAAATTGGAAGACAAGGAAGGATTCTGGCTTTAAGATATTAGGGTTATAAATTGCAATGAAACTAAAACAAAACATTTTTTTTCAAATATCACAGTGTATATTCAAATCACAAATACGATATCATACAATTACAATAAGGGTCTAGTGCACTTTCCATTATGATATCCCGATGAACAAAATGAATCATTTTTAGGTGTAACATAAAGAATACAATGTCACATAATACTGTGGAAAATATTTGAGCGTTTGGACCCACATGGGCTGAGGTTGAGGTCATTTAGTTCAGCAAAGGTGTATTGACTTGCCATTGAATGGGCTCCATTGACTTAACATGTGGATATCATCAATTCCAATAGAGGCCATTGGTTTCTATTGATTTTCACAAAAATACCTAAAATACACTATGACCTGAATCGATTGCAAATTAAATTATTTCACAGTATGACACAAATGGTATATCACATCAGATGTGCAAATATAAAGTTTGCAATCGATTCAGGTCATACTTCAAATTAAAAGATTATACATTTTTTCCATCATTTTTTCCTACAAAATGGCTATAGAAAAATGCTTCAAAAGCAACTTTTACACTAATGAAATCCCATACAACTTTGTAAATCCAAAGATTATACTGTTATGTTTCATTAATTAATAACATATTTGGATAATATATTGGGATGTGTAGGATGCAAATGGATTTTGACAGACACAAAAAGACTTCTTGGTTTGGCATCTCTACCCCTGTACACTTTATGATTGAATATTGGCCCTAATAAGTGGCCCATTCATCAATACAGTGCTGAATATAGGTCAACAAGATACTAGTGTACATATAAATGTAATAATACCTATAGCTAGGTCTGAATATTAAACTCCAGCCAAATAGAGCCAGCACAATATTTCAACCTTTGTAACCCTTGCAAAAAGATTTTCTTGCAATAAAAATGTGAAAATAGCTTAGGGTACTTGTAAGCCAATCTGATTTTAAGGTAGATATGTCTCGATATTTTTCACTAATTTTCATGATTATAAATACCGATAATCAATGAAAGGGACAATATTTTCACATTTGTAATTGTATGTGTATGCATGGTCCATGGTGTATGTTACCATAATTCTTTATATCCACTTAAAATGTCAAAAATATTGCCCAATTTATAATTATCAGATAATTTATTCATCGCCAAAATTAGTTAAAATTGTCAACATGCAGAACTACCTTAAAGAGTTTAATCTCTCACTCAGTCACAATCATGTCAACCAAAACTGTACTTGTATTACATAATATAGGATTATACAGCTTACCATACGTGTGCAATCCATATAGCATCCACACTGACATCTTTACAGAATCATATATAATTTTTGAATATAAACTAACTCAACCCAATAAGGCGAGTACTAAAGAATTTACTTACCTGCCATCTAAAAATCTGCTTGGAACTACCATTGGATTACCATTGGATTCCTCCAAGAGAATATTCTAGGGATTATGGAATGCATTCAGCTTACATAATTTGAGAAATTATTGGCATACGTAAAACCTATTTAAAACAGCATTTATCGCATTCAAAAGCGTTGAGCATCATTGATTCCCAGCCCTCTGAAGATTGAAAAATAAAAATACCTGGGTGTTAATCCATGGATTATCTTTGAAAATGAGAAATATATTTTTGGATTACATGGTGTAATCTTAAAGTAAACAAAATGTTTTAAAGTGTATTGATGTTTTTTGGATGAAAACCATAATAGAAATTCATGAAAAAAATCTCCCGATTCATTCTACAAACAACTCGCCCTCCTTTTCCGTCTAAGAATTAATAGAACATAAGCTTTTACATTAAAACTGTATTGAGGAAATTTTTAATAAAAATGGACCAATTATACATACATATAGCTTTTCATTGTCATATTGTATCATATGATTAAAGGGTGACGCATATCGTTTAGCAAATCGAACGCTCGTTTCTGGTGTTGCTCACCGTTTAGTATAAAAGGCCCGATCCCGGAATAATACTCAAGGGTTCACAGGCTCGAGGTCGTTGTGTCAACACCTCTAACTGTTATATAGTATAAGTATATTATAGATCGTCACATATTTATAAAAGGGTGATTTTTATTTTGACAAATCAATTCCACATTTATGGGTGAAGTTTCAGGATCTTCTATTTGTGTATAATAAGGAAAAATTGACATATTTTCCCCATAACGTAATAGCACACAGCTTGGCATATGAAATATCCTACAAATGAAACAAAGCAGTTCTAATACAAGGATTTATATTGGCTGTTGTACATATTCTTTGAACGCAATCACTCGATGGATAATGTTTTCAAAATCATTATAAACGGATTACTTTATCTCAAAGACAATTTCAATAAACTGGATTTTACAGAACTCCCCTTATTTCTTAAAAATGGACTGATCCAGTTGATTCACCTGGAGCCGCCATATTGTTTTTATACGGGATGCTTATCGGAACCCTTTAACAGATATGGGGGTTGTATCGTGGAATTTTATATTGTATAATTTTTTTGTATATTGTTTGAGAGGGGCTAAAATTTATTGTAGATGTTATAAGAGGTGTAAAAAATATTGAAAAGGGTTACTTTTGGCAAAAAGAAATGAAGAAGCAGAACCTCTAAATGTAATTCTTACTTGGTAGCAGCAACCATATAAGGTAAATCTGAACCCCCTTTCTACCTGCATCATGTTTTCAGGTTGTCCCTGTATCGTCATGTCATAAGCCACAAGCCAACCATTTACCAGTATTTGTTTACTATAAACTGACATTTCACATTTCTTCTCAGTACTATGAAACGCAATCCTATGTTCCGTAGATGATTTATTACAGAACTATTTCCAGCTTTGAAGAAACTATAAACAAAGGCACATTATATGTATTCTTTAATAATGACGCATTAAGATTGATTACATGATATATCATTGAAACAATGTAATTAGTATCAAAATATACATAGGCTAAGGGCGATAGAAATCATTTTAACATAAAGATGGCATGGTAATTCTGTTGGTGCTGCCATTTTTATATCGGCCAAGAACCTATGATAATATATGTACTATGTTTCACCGAAATCTTCCACCACAGACTTATGCCCTTAGATATGAATTACTTGTTTTGAAAAAACTCTTAACGAGGGCTCCACATGTACCTTTTAGTTTCAATTCTTAAATAACAAAGTCAAAATAAGGTAAACATTGTGCAACTGTTACAAGTAAATTATGAAATTAAAAGATTAAAAGTTTTGTATGACACCACTAAATATATATATACTATCTGTTTTGTAAGGGCCTTAAAACTAACTAACACAATGTGAGAATATCAAATTACTGGCTTCCGAAATTCACTACAGTAAAATCTGCCATAAGGGAACATCGCTTAGACTGATAAAACATGCTGGCCTGCGAAGTGTTTACAAAAACTGGTTCTTACACCAAAAAGGTTAAAAAAAAAATCTAAGGAAATATGAGAGAAGTGTTAAGATTGGAGAGGTGTTTATGTATTGGTGCACATACAAGAACACAGGGCTCCTCTAAGGAGGGTTTTCTGGCTTTGTCTTCGGGTGGAAAATCAGAAAATACGGAAGATACCAATGAGGTACTGCTCGTCAAAATATGGCTGCAAGATACGATACAGTAAAAACAAAAGTATTAGAGACGTGTTCACATTTATAGATTTTACTGTCCTAGGTCAAAGTGTCTATAAGTGATGGTAATCTATATATAGAATAAAAAAAACTGTATCCATAATCAAGGGGTGGAAACGCGTAAAACATTTTCGTAAAGTCGACAGGGATATCTTCACGACATCCGTCATTTTTGTTGCAGACAGAAGGAGGTGTTGTGTAAACAGGAACCTGTATCATTACATGATATCTACTATCTAGTGGCCGAACTTGACATTTCTCCAAAGAGAGTTTGGATAAGACTGAGTAAAGGCTATAATGGTAAATAAAACTTATAAGCTAACAACAAAAGTGATTTTAGTACTTTTGATCCTTAAATACCAGTGACTTCTGATCCTGCAATAAATACCAGTGACTTCTGATCCTGCAATGAATACCAGTGACTTCTGATCCTGCAATAAATACCAGTGACTTCTGATCCTGCAATAAATACCAGTAACTTCTGATCCTGCAATGAATACCAGTGACTTCTGATTCTGCAATAAATACCAGTGACTTCTGATCCTGCAATGAATACCAGTGACTTCTGATCCTGCAATGAATACCAGTGACTTCTGATCCTGCAATAAATACCAGTGACTTATGATCCTGCAATAAATACCAGTAACTTCTGATCCTGCAATGAATACCAGTGACTTCTGATCCTGCAATAAATACCAGTAACTTCTGATCCTGCAATGAATACCAGTGACTTCTGATCCTGCAATGAATACCAGTGACTTTGATCCTGCAATAAATACCAGTAACTTCTGATCCTGCAAGGAAAACCAGTGACTTCTGATTCTGCAATAAATACCAGTGACTTCTGTTCGTGCGATAAATACTAGTGACTTCTGATCTTGCGATAAATACCAGTGACTTCTGATCTTGCGATAAATACCAGTGACTTCTGATCCAGCGATAAATACCAATGATTTTTGATTCTGCAACAAATAATAGTGACTTCTGATCCTGCCATAAATACCAGTGACTTCTGATCCTGCAACAAATACCAGTGACTTCTGATGCTGCGATGAATACCAGTGACTTCTGATCCTGCGATAAATACCAGTGACTTCTGATCCTGCAACAAATACCAGTGACTTCTGATCCTGCGATAAATACCAGTGACTTCTGATCCTGCAAAAAATACCAGTGACTTCTGATCCTGCAACAAATACCAGTGACTTCTGAGTCTTCTATAAATACCAGTGACTTCTGATTCCTCTATCAATACAGTGACAGTGACTTCTGATCCTGCGATAAATACCAGTGACTTCTGATCCTGCAACAAATACCAGTGACTTCTGATCCTGCGATAAATACCAGTGACTTCTGACCCTGCAAAAAATACCAGTGACTTCTGATCCTGCAACAAATACCAGTGACTTGTGAATCTTCTATAAATACCAGTAGCTTCTGATATTGTGATAAATACCACTAACTTGTGATGTTTTTATAAATACCAGTATCTTCTAATCCTGCAATTAATACCAGTGACTTCTGATCTTGCAATAAATACAGGTGACTTCTGATTCTTCTATAAATACAAGTAACTTCTGATCTTGTGATAAATACGAGTGAGTGATCCTGCATTGCAATGAATACCAGTGACTTCTGATCTTGAAATAAATACAGGTGACTTCTGATTCTTCTATAAATACCAGTAACTTCTGATCTTGTGATAAATACGAGTGAGTGATCCTGCATTGCAATGAATACCAGTGACTTCTGATCCTGCAATAAATACCAGTGACTTCTAAACCTGAGATAAATACCCGTGGCTTATTGTAGTTACAAATAATACCAGTGACTCCCAAACTTCAGGAAAGAAATTAGTACAGGATAATAATAATCATACATCCAAATTAGCTCTTCTACCAGGGAAAACAACTCTTGCATATTATATTTACATATATTGGATGTTGGGACAGTAAATAATAGTGTTTTTGGTAATTTGTACAGGTCAAATTTAAATCAGTTTAATATGCATCAAGAGATTGGTCTACATGAAACATCAACTAGCGTTGTTGTAAATAAGACTATATCAAGATCTAGTGTTGAACACAGAGATACAAAACCTACAGTAAAATATGTGGGGAAATATAAATGCGATGTCTGTCCTAGAGTATGTAGGAGCAAGTCTGAACTTGAGGAACATTATGGAATTCATACTGGAGAAAAGAATTTCAAATGTGATATCTGTTTAAAGACATTTAACTTCAAGTATAGCCTTGTAAGACATTCTTATATACATACTGAAACGAGGAGTTTTAAATGTAAAGTCTGTTTAAAAACATTTAAACACAAACTGAACCTTAAAAAACATTCTATAATACACACTGGAGATAGGAGTTTCAAATGTGAAGTCTGTTTGAAGGCATTTATCAGAAAGTCTTGCCTAATGTTACATTCCAAGATACATACTGGTGAGAAGAATTTCAAATGTGATGTTTGCAGCAAAACATTTATCAGAAGTTCTCAGCTCAGGGCACATTATGTAAATCATACGGGAGAGAAGCATTTCAAATGTGACGTTTGCCTAAAGACATTTTACAAAAAAACCTACCTTGTAAAACATTCAAAGATACATACTGAAGAGAGGAATTTCAAATGTGATGTTTGTCTAAAGACATTTAAATACAAATCTACCCTTGTTCAACATTCTATGATACATACTGGTGAAAGGAATTACAAATGTGATTTTTGTCTTAAAACATTTAAACGCAAATATGACCTGGCAGAACATTGTACGATACATACTGAAGAGAAGAATTTCAAATGTGATGTTTGTCTTAAGACATTTAGATGCAAATCTCACCTTGTAACACACTCTAAGATACATACTGGAGAAAGAAATTTCAAATGTGATATTTGTCTGAAGACATTTAAAAGCAAATCTCACCTCGTAAGTCATTCTAAAATACATACTGGAGAAAGGAATTCCAATGTGATGTTTGTCTAAAGACATTTAAACACAAATTTGACATTAGACGACATTCTAAAATACATACTGGATAGAGGAATTTCAACTGTGATGTTTGTCTTAAGACATTTAAACACAAATCTCAGAAATTGTAGTATATTCTAAGATACATACTGAAGAAAGGAATTTCAAATGCGATATTTGCTTAAGACATTCAATCACAAATCTACTCTTGCAGAACATTCTAAGATACACACTGGAGAGAGGAATTTCAAATGCGATGTTTTTTGTCTAAAGACATTCAAACACAAACCTAACCTTGTAGCTCATTCATCTCATCTCTAATTACATTCCAAGATACATACTAGTGAGAAAAATCTCATCCCAGAGGGCATTTTGTAATTCACACTAGAGAGAAAAATTTCAAATTTGACGTTTGCCTAAAGACATTTATCAACAAATCTATCCTTGTAAAACACTCGAAGACACATATTTGAGAGAAGAATTTGAAATTCGAAGTACATTTAAACATTTAACCTGAGTGAAAAGTTAAGATAAATACTTGAGTTAGGAGGAAATGTTGATTAAACAAACATTCCACTCAAATGTTGTTTCTTCAAATTTGCATTCCCTGCGAGGTTACCAAAGATTTGGAAACAACATCTTCGCGGAATGGTTCAGCACATAATGCACTGACTCCAAGGCTTAAATCCTTAGGTAACATCTACTTAAGACATTTATTACGAACATGTTACTCAAACAACTAACATGAATTATAAATATGAAAATGTTTGAGAATCTGAGGAAAGAATAAGTCAACATATAAACTTTTTTTCATTAAAACATAACATTTTTACATATTTGTGGCAGTGACACCTACATAGATATATACTTGACCCCATTTAAATCATTAATCTTAAACTTAAAAGTTTAACACAATATGACACTGGGTAAACCACATTTTGTCTCATGATTTAAAAAATGTACAATGAACATATCAATATCAATCAAGTCTACAATGAAAATGAAAATGTAAAATTTTTAAAAAGATTTTTTTAGTTTATAGATACTATTAGTTTAATACTAGTAGTGTTTTGAGTATTGTTCCAGATGATTCCACCTTGTACATTATAACTATATCTTACCTAATTGGTTTTGAATTTTTACATGAACTTATTAATTCTCTCTAGTGTAGTGTTAATGAACACTATTGCTTTTGTCAAAGAAGTCTATCAAATGTCACTTGGAAAAATCGGGTCTGTTAATACATTTGTAAATTAGTTGTAGAATATTAAAGTGTGCGCCTGACCCGGCTACGTATAGCACAGAGTTTATACTGGCGGATTAGACTAGTTCATTTTTTATATGTGTGTGAAAGCTTTCTCTTATTTGCGTTTTTTCGTTTAGTACGGTTCTGTTACAATTGCCGAGGTCATATAACCGGGATAAAACAATGATTATCGTTGACTGCCCACACACAAAACATACGTTGAGTGAACAGTGTTATTACAAACAACAGGCTTTAGAATACAAAGCGTAGTGTGATAATAAGCTGTACACTACCACTGCTGCATGTACATATTACTAATTTACTAGGGCTCCCAAAGAGTGGATAGGGAGGTTGTGTTGTCACTTTTAAATTTTACATTTCAAAATTGTCATTTTACATGTCATAATTTGTTGTTTTTATTCGGTTTGCCAATCAAAACATTGTAAAACAATAAATTGTCTGTTACGTACAATCAATTTTGTTCAGTTTTGATTAGTTGTCAGAATAAAGTTACGTTCATCTGAATCCATGTATCAAAACAAAAATCCTATTTTCACTTCAAAATACTTCAGTGAGATGAAGGCTCGGAATTGTCACATGCAATAACTTATTGTCGTATTCGTTATTTTATCTTCTCGATAGTAGCATTTAGTCGCACATTTGATGCCAGGTCACCTTGTCGCGTACCTCTTAGGGAACCCCACATTTATGTGTGTACTCATGGAAGTAAATTCCCCGGTGTAGCTGAGAGCCACAAACTTTTAAACAGGTTCGAAATGACCAATTTCTCTCATATATACTCTAAATATTTTATTATTTAGCACCTACAAAGTATTGCTAATAACCATATGTAATTTCAATAAGGAAACTTATCTGGCTACATGTAAATTCAATATCAACACAAGCTGTTCTCTCAACACGTCCTGGCTTACCTTGTGGTGACAAACCCTGGATTTTCGCTATTTATAGTTTATCAACACTTGGACGCATGCGCATTTTATAGTTTATCGGGCACTTTAAGGTCATGTATGTCTGTCAATTTTAGAATTTCAAATTGTTAAAAGAATGGCCCGGTATGTTCTTAAAAAACGTTTTTGTAGTTTAAATATTGAACTCGTTGTAGTTTTGCCTGCATTTCCCCAAGCACATATTCAGTATTGGATTTGAGAGTATCGAGAATAGTAAATTGATCGAAGAGTTTTTGTATTTAGTTTATGTCTACTTTTAAATAGTATCCCAATTGTTTTTGATAAACATTATAGACATGATATTGATGTTGTTTGTTTGTTACAGTCTATATATAATGTAGTATATTTGTCCATATCATATGGTGTTGCCCTTTCAAAATACAAGTCAAAGTAATATCATGATCTTGCTTCAAGTCCAAACTTGTAAACACTTCATATAAGTGAGAATTTTACATTTTATCAATGTATAAAAAGCCTCTTTTGACAAATCCTCAAAATGTAAATACAAACCTTTTTGTAAATAAGAACCTTCCTTACATCGTAATGCATATACATTCGAGATGTAAATGTAGTCTTCCCTTGCATAGTTACTGTACTGTATTAGAATTATATTTGTAAAAGGGTTATCATGAAGTTCTAATAAATCTATATTTCATTTAAATTTTAGAACTTCGTGAAAACCCCTCGTATATTATATGTTCAATATGATTATCTATTTTGTATTACTGATAATATACCAATTGGCATGGCTAATGAAATATACTTTATAATATTAACTTTTCTTATTTTATTTCTGAAAACCATGATTAGTAACATCGATATAGTTTGTATAAGAATGAATCTATTATCTCCATTTACTTTTATGTCAATTTCTAGGTGAAGAAATATTTGTTCTGTTTCGTAAAACACCAAATTATAATTATTTATAAGAGTAAAATTTTGAATACAACGATAAAATTAAATTTAAAAAATTAAAAATTTAATATTCATGCTGTAGAATTTTATTATTTATCAGTCAACTTATGGGAAATCGTTTGACGAAAGATTTGAGATTTTCATCTTTATTCATGTTATCAATTTTGAGTTAAAGAGTTTCTTAAGATTCTTATAGTGCAAGGCAGAAAAACATCCGTGAATTTAACTGCCCAATATATGCATTTTATTTTTGTGACCCCTGGACCAGTAGATCTGCAATATCTTTGCGATAAAAAGTCCTAGAACAGTCTAGTTTACATCAATTGAAAGTGTTTTGATGTATCATCAATGCTTATATCAGAAAAATTGGTTCTACCAGCACCATTTGTAACCCCGTGTTAAAGGGCCCTTGTAATCCGAGAACATTCCCTACAGTACACTGATGAACTTCTTTCTCCAAATCGAGACTTGTATTTTACTGAATCGGTCTACTGTAGATTTAAATGTCCTCTTTTGAATATATATAAATTAATTTGAGTGTTCTATATGTTTCATAAAAAATTATTAGCCCAGGAGACTGTTCTCCAGACCGAGAATAGTCCTTTCGATGATAAAAGGCTAAATACAGCGGCCATTTACTAATGTTGAACATAAATGAAGTGAGATTTCATAGTTTCTGTATTGTATTGTAACAGCACTCATTTAAGCTAAAAGGCCTTACATTTGTTCTACAGATGGATCTCTTCGTTGATTGGTGGTGGCTAGATTTATTCCTGTTTTTTTCAATTTGATAATCTCTTCGTTTTAATATAGTTCATTAAACTTGTCTTATCAGAAATGTATGATTTTAACAATCAAACATCTTTATAATGTGTTCAACTTTTCATTTTTATTCTTCATTAAAATCATTTTGCAGCATGGACTGTGTGACTGTGAATACACATGGCTCTGAAAATGAAAAGGCAAAATAACATGTGCATGCTAGATTGACAGAAAGATGGCAGTATGATCTACATAGCTCTATGTATTAACATGCAGAAACAGATAACACAACAAGGCTAACCTTGTAACCTGTACATCCTTCCATCTTGCTTCATCAAGCTTCGGACCTATCCTATAGAACGTAGTGATTGAGCGTCACAGCAAAAAAAGTGAATCAAATCCCCGAATCCTGGAGGCAGGATTCAAGCAGGATTCATATGCGCATATGAATCCTGTATAAATCCTGCCTCCAGGATTCATGCAGGATTCGCTGTTTAAGTAGTTTACAAATGAATCGTATAGCCAGGATTCAAGCAGGATTCAAATGTAAGGTAGTTTACAAATGAATCCAACCTTCAGGATTCGTGCAGGATTCATATGTAAGGTAGTTTACAAATGAATCCAACCTTCAGAATTCGTGCAGGATTCATATGGAAGGTACTTTACAAATGAGGATTCGAGCAGGATTCATATGTAAGACTTCATTTATGCTTAAATTCATATATATTTAGCAGTTATGTCCCTATCATTGAATATATGCCTGAGGTCTGTCACCAATATAGCCCGAGCTTGCGAGGGTTATATTACGACAGACCAAAGGCATATATTCAATGATACGGACATAACTGTTGTATTACATACTTTTATATCATGGCTACGTTATATCAATGACGCCACGTGTCTGTGTGCGAGTTAGTATAGTAGGAACAAGGGGTTCCCATGCACCCATAAGGTGTGAATAAGTTACATACATTTTTGTAATCCCTAGGGTGTCTATTTAATGAATTCATTTGTTAACATTGCCAACAAATGTCCCATAGTACTTTTATGGCGGCATTCAGTTACCATGGTTACGCATCTTTAGACATCTTACCTTGGTATCTTAAATCATTTGTAGCTCTGTCATTATTTGGTCTATAGAAATGATATTGGTACCAAATTAAACCTTGTTAAATTTCCAATAAATTCCTGATATTCAATTATGCAAATTATCTAATTTGCATAAATTATGACGTCATCAATCTATTTTTGGTTCAGAATTTCCAACTATAGCAAC